TGAATTTCCCGGCCTTCATTTGCATAAGCGGGGCGCTGCCATTTTTAAATCCCCGCTGGTTCGAACCCCGTGCCGCACGGCTACACGCAGCACGAACTAGGTAGTTCGGACTAGGCTTCCTAGTTCGAACTACCGTTACTCCTCGTGGAACCAGCCAGGATTTAAAAATGGCGGCGCCCGGCTTATGCAAATGAAGCCCGGGAAATTCAAATCCCGGGCTTCATTTGCAAGTGCGGTATGCCTACATTACCCTGCTAGTTCGAACTAGCGGGGTAGTGTAGACATACCCTATTAGAGTTTAAAGAGAAGTTGGATAAATTCATGGAGGTTAGGTCCATAAAAGGCTATTAGCCAGGGGATAAAATGGTGAGACAGGCTACTGGGCTAGATGGACCTTTGGTCTGACCCAGTACGGCTGTTCTTATGTTCTTAACTAATTTAATGGAATTTTACATTCCTAGTCCATTTTTCTGTAACAGTTTTTAGATAGCAGAGTTTGGAAGTCTCCCATTCCTATTAAATACTAGGAAAAAAGGGGATACATTTCAGAGTATCTCGGATGTTGCAATATGGAGTGATGGTTTTTCTGTCCCTCAGTGAAGCTTTCTTTTTAATGTGAGCCTAAGAAGATGGGTTATTCAATCTCTCTCCCCAGAGTCTATTTCTTGGTCCTCCCGTAGCCCCACAAATGGGCAGAACTAATGCTTGACTCTGCTTCTGCTTATAGCTTTCAAAGCAGGCAGCAGCGCTTGCACTGTGCTTTGGCTACTTTGAAAAAGTATGAACAGCAGTAGAGACACTGAATGTCTATGTCCAGGGAGTCTCAGGTATACATATTATTGCTAGTTTCGAGTGTTCAAAAATCGTGAGTTAGTCCCCACTTCCAATTCATGAAGTTGTCTTGAAAGATCACGAGGTTTTTCTTTTTAAAGTGGCTTTTTATTTACATTCCAGTTTGTGAGCCTATTGAGTGCACTCTATTCATGTTTTTCAGACTTCATTGCTCTTCCATGAGAACTAGAAATTTTTAATTAATATTAATTGGGATTCTCATGAAATAAAGTTACAGGAGCTGAGACTTTACAAAAACCCCAAGGACTGTGAGACTCTCAGTCATATCACAAAGGTTTGTTCAGTGAAAACAGTGCAGTCTATTGCATCAATTCATATTTAGTTCATATTGGGAATATTATGTTGCAGAGATTTTTTTAAAATGATGTTTTGAAGTCTCCAGAAATCGATGATTTAAGTCCGGGTGAAGAATCTTTTTTGGGTCGGGCTGCAGACCCACAGAAAAATCAGTCGGGGTAGGGAGGGGGCACACACAAGTGAGGGGGGGGGAAAGCCACACCCTCATTGACGTTGCCACTGACTGAGGAGAAAGACACTTCCCATATTCCTCTTTCACAACAGAGGCTCTGGGGGGGCCATCTTAGTAGATTTTGGGTGTTCCAGCCACACAGTGGGGCAGTGGGAGGCTGGAGCACCAGCATGGACTCCCCAATGCAGTGGGGGTGACCATGGGCCTCGGGGGCTGGATCCAGGCAAAGCAGGGGCCGCATCCGGCCTGTGGGCCTGAGGTTCCCTACCCCTGATTTAAGTGCTTACTCAACTAGGACAGCTCACTCCTCAATGCCAACAGCGGGTTTTTCAGGCTAAATGAAGTGCATATCAACTACAAACACCATCTACATATCAACTACAACCCAAACCCACTTAAAGTATTTATGGTGACGAGCAAAAAGGTGGAAATTGGAAAGGGGAGGGCACTTTTGGAGATTACAAACTAGATTAGGTGATCCCTTCAGTTTGTTTTCTGGGAGCAAGGTTTGTAGGTAGGGGAGAGCAACAGCAGTTGACATGGATTCGGATGCTCCATTTCATACATGAAAACTCTTTCACTAGCAAGCTGCTTGCTTGACAAGTGGGTATGCCATGTGAATGGTGCTCTCTCTGCTTGCATAGGATTGTCTGACACAGTATTCCATGTCTGACAACCAGAAAACACTGTCAGATGGCTGGATGTGACTCAGTTGGAAATCAATACTGAAAGCGGTAGCTGTAAAGGAGTGTACAAATATTTCCACCAGCATAGTTGTTGGTAGGTAAAGCTGTGTGCACAACATAACCATATGTTTCTTATTCACCATTCCCCTTTATCTTTAAAGGACCACAAAGTGGTGTTCTTCTCTTGATCTGTGCAATTTTCAGTGCTGAGCTTGCTGCTACATTGCTCAGGTGCATGGATTAGTGTGCATGCCCAAATCTGGCTCTCAGTATTTAGGACAATGGGTCTTAATGAGATAATTCTTCTCTCTACTGTCTATATACTCATTTTTTAAAATTTGTCGCTGAGCGGATGGGAAATGTATTTGACATAGAATTTTGTTAGAAAAATAGTTATTTTTAATTGTATGCCAGAAAAAAGTCATGTTTCCTATTTCCTAGTACTGAAGCAGATTTCTTAAAAAGGTGGGGTGGGGTATAATGTGGGAATGTGGTTTGAGAAATGTCTAGGATTGGTGTATTTCAAACGAAAAAAATGGGCTACTTATATTTGTGTTTTTTATGATTTATTGGTTCCAAGTTATTAGTGTTGCCTGCAGTGCTTTTTTTGTTTTTTGTTTTAAAAAGGTGCTGGTACTCCAGTGGAAAAGTTGTTGAGGTCTCACTGGAGGTGCCGGTACTGCGTACCAGGCAGTACTGTCACAAAAAAGCACTGCTTGCATGTATATATTTATTTTTGTTCCAGAAGGAGACTTGAGGCATTTTGTCTGCTTTAAATAATTGGCTCTCCATTCTTTGCAAAAGATTTCATGTAATATTTCAGAGTCCAGTCCTGCAAGCAGTCATTGTGGGACATAGTGCTTTAAAAGCTTCATTGCAACAATTCATGACAGACAAGGCCTGTAATATTGTAGTACTGTAAAATTTGTCACAGAATTCATCCCTTCCCTCATATTTGGGAAGATATGAAAACTAGAACCAAATACAGTAGACTTCCGATAATCCGGCACCCTTGGGACCCAGGTGGTGCCGGATTATCAGAAATTCCGGACTATCAGGAGGTACTCTGGCAGGGCCGGGTCTCGTCGAAGGAGAAGCGGAGGAGGGGGCGGGGGTGTGCCAAACCCTCCCTCCTGCTGCAGGGAGGCAGAGCCTGCGAGCGGAAGAGGAGAGGCGGTAACAGGCAGGCAGCCGCATTCAGGACGTTCTGGTCAGTTACAGTCACTCCGGCTGGATCCACAGCCGACACGCATATCAGGAGGTACTCTGGCAGGGCCGGGTCTCGTCGAAGGAGAAGCGGAGGAGGGGGCGGGGGTGTGCCAAACCCTCCCTCCTGCTGCAGGGAGGCAGAGCCTGCGAGCGGAAGAGGAGAGGCGGTAACAGGCAGGCAGCCGCATTCAGGACGTTCTGGTCAGTTACAGTCACTCCGGCTGGATCCACAGCCGACACGCAGTTAATGTAATTTTCCTCTCTACTGTCAGTAGAGGGCTGGATCCACAGCCGACACGCAGTTAATGTAATTTTCCTCTCTACTGCCGGGAGGAGGGGGGCAGGGGAAGGCAGAGGTCGGTGGAAGAGGGGGAGGGAGAGGGAGTTCCCTCCCCCTCTCCCACCGACCCCTACCTTCCCCTGGCCCCCCTCTTCCGGCAGTAGAGAGGAAAGTTACATTTAACTGCGTGTCGGCTGTGGATCCAGCCGCAGTTAATCAATTACTCTAACAACTTGAAGCAGCTGCTGGAGCACTTCCGGGTTGCAGTTGGTGCCGGACCATCAGGCGTACCGGACCACTGGATGCCGGACCACCGGAGTTTTACTGTACATTGTTGCTTTCTTGGGACTTCCCACATCAGGAAACACTAAATTCTGAGTGGTTTGAGCCACCCACATTAATCTCAATTGGTGGTTAATTCTGAATTCTAATGAAGGAAGCATACACGTTTGTCTTGTTATCTATTTGACACCAGATCCTTTAGGCAGAGACACCATGTGCTGTGCTTAACCCACAATCTCTGCCTCCCTCTTGTGCCTTTCCTACAC